AATCTATGGAAGAAACATTCCAAAACTGCGTTATTAAATAACTCTTATCCTCTGTTTTTTTTTTTTTTGTTCATCAACCTCCTTGTTCAGTAGAAAGGGTTAAAACGATTGAAAACCAAATGGATAAAAACGGCATCGTGTTGATGCAAAGGTACGAATTAGGTCGTCTTCTAGGTCAAGGCACATTCGCGAAAGTGTATCACGCACGCAACCTAAAAACAGGAGAAAGCGTAGCGATCAAGGTAATCGATAAACAGAAAGTCTTGAAAGTCGGTTTAATCGATCAAATCAAACGGGAAATCTCAGTGATGCGCCTCGTTCGCCATCCAAACGTTGTCTTCCTCCACGAAGTCATGGCGAGCAAAACAAAGATATACTTCGCGATGGAATATGTTAAAGGCGGTGAGCTTTTCGATAAAGTCTCTAAAGGAAAGCTGAAAGAAGATGTTGCTCGAAAATATTTCCAGCAATTGATCGGAGCAATCGATTATTGCCATAGCCGTGGAGTTTACCACCGCGATCTTAAACCGGAGAATCTACTTCTAGACGAAAACGGTGACTTGAAAATATCTGATTTCGGGCTCAGCGCGTTGAAAGAGTCGAGGAAAGGAGATGGCTTGCTTCACACGACATGTGGAACACCAGCTTACGTGGCACCTGAAGTGATCTGCAAGAAAGGTTATGATGGAGCTAAAGCTGATGTTTGGTCTTGTGGAGTTGTGTTGTATGTGTTGTTAGCTGGATTTCTTCCGTTTCACGAACAGAATCTTGTCGAAATGTATCAGAAAATCACCAAAGGAGAATTCAAATGTCCGAATTGGTTTCCTCCTGAGGTCAAGAAGCTGCTATCTCGGATTCTTGATCCTAACCCTCATTCAAGAATCAAGATCGACAAAATCATGGAAAATTCTTGGTTTCAAAAGTGTTTCAAGAAGATCGAAACACCTAAATCGCCGGATAGTCATCAAATCGAATCGCTAATCAGCGATGTCCACGCAGCATTCAATGTACAACCGATGTGTTACAACGCGTTTGACCTAATCTCTTCACTGTCTCAAGGATTCGATCTATCGGGTTTGTTTGAGAAAGAAGAGAGATCAGAATCCATATTTACAACTAAGAAAGAAGCGAAAGAGATAGTGTCGAAATTCGAAGAGATAGCTACGACTAGTGAGAGATTTAATTTGACGAAGAGCAACGTAGGAGTGAAGATGGAAGATAGAAGAGAAGGAAGAAAAGGACAACTTGCGATTGATGTTGAGATATTTGAAGTGACAAAGAGTTTTCATATGGTTGAGTTTAAGAAAAGTGGAGGTGATACAATGGAGTATAAGCAATTTTGTGATCGTGAGCTTAAGCCTTCTTTAAAAGATATTGTTTGGAAATGGCAAGGAAACAACAACAATAGCAACAATGAGAAGATTGTTTGATGTGTGATAAAATGTTTTCATTCTTCAACTTCGTTTTTCTTTAAGTTGATTGTTTTCTTTTTAATCTTGGTGTGTAAAATCTGAGATTTATGGTAATGGATTGGCTGCAATCATCATCACATACAAACTTGTTACACAAAAATAGCACTAACACAAATTTGTTATATCATTTTGAAATATTTTTTTTAATATCGT